ACGAAAACCGATCGGATCGATCCAATAGCACGCTGGCGGAGGACGATGGCACATTGTATGGGAAGGAATTTGACGATGACAGCGCGTCTACGGATGAAGTTGTTACCCCCGTGCTGGATAATGCGATGCTCGCCAACCAAAAGATTGTCGCCGACTCGATGAATCAAAAGTTTCTTCCAGCCGAGCTACGCAACGAACGATCGAGTATTTTCGACATTGCGCACATTGATGTCATCAAAAAGAGCAAGTTGGATCTGTCGGAAGCGGAGAAACGCATTCGCCATCGTGAACCCCATCTCGTGTTCGAGTTGCTGTCGAAAGCGAGCGAGATTTACCGCAGTGGTGTCATTTCAAACCAGGAACTTGATTATCTGCGCTCGATGATCTTGTCCAGGATTCAGCCCACCAAAATGGTAAGTGTACAACTGAGATAACAGTGCTTGTGGTACTGTTAAATAACGGGTGTCTCTTATTTTGTGACCAGTTGATGGATATGACGATGAACATGAATGGCATGATTTCAGATCATGAATGGCACCTGCTGATTTTGAAAGCAAAAGGTACTTGAAAAGCTTCGTTCTCAATATTTCCTACAGAGATTTAACGTCTCTTGCTTCAGGAATTCGTCATGCGTTAAATGGCACCTGCTGATTTTGAAAGCAAAAGGTACTTGAAAAGCTTCGTCCTCAATATTCCTAAGAGATTTAACGTTTCTTGCTTCAGGAATTCGTCATGCGTTGTGTATTCGAATTTTCCGCGAAGAAAGTAAACCTGCCAGGAACAATGGGCATATGGTACGAATTTTTGCTTTATCTCAAATATTATCGTGAAATATGTGCTCATGACAGTGATTCTGGAAACAGGAGTATATTGTACGTGTCGTAGATGTGGAAAGTGGTGTCGTCTGGTTTACGCGGAAGCGCTTCCGAGAACTCTATAAGCTGCACCGCAAAGTAAGTAGTGTTTACTGGATCGTCTATTGGTATTTCTCTGATCATGTTCTTGTGTGCTTGCGTTTAAAGTTGAGCCGTTTATCTGGACAAGTGAATGAGTGTGTCTTCCCAACGCGCCGTGGTCATGGTCGAAACTCGGCTAACCAACTCGCATATGACCGCGCACCTGTGTTAGAGAACTTTTTGCGTACTACGGCAGCTCTTGTGGCTCCATCGCCACTTACGTTTTTGCATGGCGTTGCTCTTAAGCAACTCCAACAATTTTTGGAAGTGCCGCATGTCGGCATTCTCGAGCGTAACCGCACCCAACCTATCTCCCGTGAGCTTCGTGTGTTTGTGTATCACACAGTGAATGATCTTACATCTCCTGAAGGCAAGGCTTGTCAGAAGTTTCTCACAAAAATGAAGCAGAGTGGATTCAACTCCGGGAAGAATGTGCTGGATGAGATTGGTGATATTCTGGATGGTGTGCAGGAGTATATGCTTGAGCATCGATTTGAGGAGATGGAAGTGATAGTTCAGCGGTTGATGAAGCAGATCCTTGCTGGAAATCCTGCGAACCCGGCCTTTGGTCGGCACAGCTCGTTTGTGAGTCTAATGACGACTGATGCTGTCAGTAACCAAGACAAGCTGCAGCAGTTACTGTCCGATGCAATTCGACATGAGCTGGAAGACCGTATTTGCGTGCCGCTAATGTGGGATGTGACGCAGTACCTTCGCCGACATGTACAGCATGAAGAGCGTCAATTTCGCCAGCGAGTGTTCCAGTTGAAGGGAAAGCCTCAGAGTTACTTTGGCATTCCGATGGATAAGCTTTCGCTGAGCAGTTGGCGGTCGGTGGTGGATGTCATTAAAGAGATTGACGGAGCTTTCCTGCCATTAGACAAGATGCGAAAATTGGTTGCCACCGCACACCAGATCCACGCGCTGTACAAGGCCGAACGCACCATGTACCTCGATCCACCTCAGCACCGTCGACGAAACTCCACACCGATGGCAGGCTCTTTCTTACAGCCGCAATCATCTCCACTGTCAAACCGGATGCTGTCGCCCACGAACAGTTCCAACCGATCATCTCGTGGTTTGACTGTTGGAGATGAATCCGAGGCCCCTGCTGAAATCAATTCAACTGAGCAAGAACAAAAACATGGAGAAGATGCACGAGATAGCGAGGCGTCCAAGACGGAGGAGGACGTGCTGAGCGGAGACGACTTCCTGCCCATTTTTATTTATGTGATCGTCCACAGCGACTTGGAGGCGCCCATTCTCACTCAAGTGTTGCTGAATCGCCTGTGTGACCCTGAAAAGCGTCGAAGTGAGTCCGGCTACTATCTCGCTACCTTCGAGGCAGCCTTGCATCACATCTTGTCACTGGAGCTGCCTGGAGCCAAAGCTGATCTGTAGACGAAAGCGTTAATAATAATCGGTACACGGTACCACTTATTGTCTTGTATTCTGTGTACCGCACTCAATTTACAGAGGAGAACCATACTCAAGTGTAGTGTCACTTTGAGAGCAGCATAACTTCCAGGTGCAGAGCGTGGGGCTGGGCATTGCTGCGTGCTCGCTAAATCCGGTGTAAGCGTCCGATTGGCTCGTCAGATCCGAGTATGTTCGGGATGGACCCCGTGCTGTCCGGGTCGCTGTGCTTCCTGGTGCTGGCGATCGCCATGTACCTCAAGTTCATCCGGGAGCAGCCGTGGGGAGACGACGAAATCTCCGACCACAAGAGCAGCCCCGTGGACGGAGACGACACCATGCCGTTCCTCCATCCCGCGTCCCCCGCGGGGCGTTTACAGGCTCAGCAGCAGAAGCGAGGGTCGGGACAGAGTCGACAACAGGTCAAACAGAAGCAACAGGTGCCGCCGCAGCCTCCACAGCCACATCAGGGCTACGCAGGATACAAACAGAGAGGACAGAACGCGTCAGCGACTGTGGCAGCCGCTGGAGACGCCGCTGCAGCTGCAGGAGCCAATTATTTACCCAAGAAACAACCCATGAGGAGGAGAACCCATAGTGCGACAGCTGCTACTCCTAATAACAAGGTCAAGAGTGCAGTTGCTGCTGCAGAGGGGGATCAACTACCCACCACCATCTATGAAGGCGCTAATTACGATCAGTTCCGACAGACACAGCCGCAGGATTCAGGGCGGAACCAACACCGCATCACGTTCGACGACTACGACGAAGAGATGGGCTTCTTGTCGCCCCCTCGACATGCAGACGCGAACGATTCGCTAGAGAGCGTGTCGTTTGAAGCAGAGAGTGACGACTTTTACGACTTAGAGAACCATATGCCGGAAGATCACTTGCTCAATATTGCCGACACGCCGGAACGAGGAGCCAAGCCGCTGCGGATTGGAACGCAATATCGTGGAGGTGATCTGCTGGAATCGCCGGATGTAGAGGCGTCACCTGATGCCAAAACGCTCAAGACGAATATTGAGCGTCAGTTTGTGCGGGATGTTGCTCCACCCGCACAAATGCAGCTTGAAGTTGCTCGAAAGGCTCGAATTCCTTTGTTCCTACACTCGCCGATGTATGTGAGGACGTCAGCCACACCTTTGATTGATGAGGTTGATGCTGAATTCACAGCAGAGTTTGCGGCGGAGGAGGTACAGGCAATAGACGCTGGTGGCAATGGTGATGTACAAGCTGTACCCGCTGTAGGAGGAGCAGCTGGAGACGCTGTTGCTGGAAACCACTCGCGAAGGAGGAGACCAAAATTGTCCAAGGCCAAAAATGATAGTCTGCATGTGGACTTCAAGGAACTGCAAGTTGAGGAGATGATCGGTCAGGGTGCGTTCGGAACAGTGCATCGCGCCAAATGGCGAGGGACTGTAGTAGCTGTCAAGATTCTGGTTTGTCAATACCTGACGGCAGATATACTGGAAGAGTTCGAGGCCGAAGTGCAGATCATGAGCATATTAAGGTATTGTTTGCTGTTGTGTAATCATCGCCACGAAGTGATTTTATTTTGACTGATTCGCTAGGCACCCTAACATTTGCCTACTGATGGGCGCGTGTCTGGAGCCGCCAACGCGCTGCCTCGTGATCGAGTATTTACCTCGAGGCTCTCTCTGGAATGTTCTTCGCCAAGACGTTGTCATCGATATGGGCAGGCAGTATGGGTAAGATATACTAGTATCGCATCTTTGCCGCTCGCTTGTCTAACTTGGCATGTTCGTTCTAATCTACAGGTTTGCGCGCGACACAGCGCTAGGAATGAACTACCTGCATTCTTTCCAGCCACCAATTTTACATCGTGACTTGAAGAGCCCCAACTTATTGATCGATTCATCGTACGCGCTCAAGATCTCTGATTTTGGTTTAGCTCGTGTACGAGCACACTTCCAGACGATGACGGGTAACTGCGGCACCACTCAGTGGATGGCGCCTGAAGTGTTGGCCGCTGAGAAGTACACGGAGAAGGCTGATGTGTTCTCGTATGGTGTCGTGGTATGGGAAACCGTAACACGGCAGTGCCCATACGAGGGCCTCACGCAGATTCAGGCGGCGCTCGGCGTGCTGAACAACAACCTACGGCCGACAGTTCCAGAGAATTGCCCGCCCTTATTCAAGAAGCTCATGACGTTATGTTGGGTAAGCTCTCCTGAGGAGCGACCAAGCTTCGAGGAGGTGCTGGAGATCCTAAACAGCTCCACCGGTGGCTCGTTACCTCCACCACAACCCAGCGACCCGCACATGCGGTAACTTCGCGTCAATAACCCAAATGTATGTACGAAGAGGGACACGTAGTTAGAATGAATACAGAGCGTGCAAACAGACCACGCAGAAAAAATGTCAACACTCCTAGGTCATTGTGACTTGTGCTGAAAGACCCGTGCTTGGGACTCCAATTCGTGACACACTTGACCAATTCCGATGGAAGAGCCGTGAGTCAACAGGAAGCACCGATTTTCAGGCTTGCTAGGTGATACATGCTTTGAGTTGTAGTGATACATTGGATTGAAGTCACTGAGTCTCAGCTAAGCTGTACTTCATATATGTAGTACGGTTCGAGCTCACTCTAGTTCACGTAGCAATCTAGTGCTTCTTCATGTTCTGGAGGTACTCCTTCCAGCCGCTAGTAGCCATTTTCTCGATCTTGTCATCCACCTCACGCTTCTGCGTGTCCAGGAACGTCGCCATGGCATCGATGAGAGACGAGTCCCCGGCGCTGAGAATGCGAACGGCCAGCAGACCGGCGTTCGTGGAGTTCCCGATAGCAACAGTGGCAACGGGTACACCACGCGGCATCTGCACAATACTCAAGAGCGAGTCTTCACCGTTGAGTGTCGACGTCTTCACCGGGACACCGATGATAGGCAGAGGAGTCAAAGCAGCAATCATACCCGGAAGATGAGCAGCACCACCGGCACCAGCAATGATCACCTTGAGGCCACGGCTGGCTGCGTTTTGGGCGTATTCATACATACGCGCCGGTGTGCGGTGAGCAGACACAATCGAAAGCTCGTACGGCACGCCAAACTTTTCCAACATGTCAGCGGCAGCAGCCATGGAGGGTAGGTCAGAATCCGATCCCATGACAATGCCAACGAGCGGCTTGCGCTCCTGCTTCAGAAGCCCTGAGCTCTTAGCAGCCTCCGGAGAGAGGGCAGTAGCACGCTTGGTCAGTTCCTCGAGGTTCGGCGCAGTGATTGTGACGTGTCCTAGCTTCCGTCCAGGACGCACGCCAGCCTTGCCGTAAAAGTGAGCAGCAGCGCCAGGGATACTCAAACTGTTGCGAAGCAGTGAGAAGCTCACGTCCTCGGATGACGTAGCATCACCCAGCACATTCACCATCAGCGCAGCCGGCACACGCAACGCACAACTGCCCAACGGTAGGCCAGCGATAGCACGCAGGTGTTGTTCGAACTGGTCCGTCTCACAGGCTTCGATTGTGTAGTGGCCCGAGTTGTGGGGGCGTGGAGCGATCTCGTTCAGGAGCACTTCACCCGTAGCAGTTAAGAACAGCTCCACGCCATAGATACCGCGGCCTTCCAGCTGCGCGACGGCAGTCTGAGCCATTTCACCTGCACGCTTGGCAACAGTCTCCGGGATCTGTGCGGGAGCCAGCACCGTATCACAAATGCTGTCACGCTGGGTCGTCTCCACAACAGGGTAGGCACGGACGTCGCCGTCTGCACCCTTGACGACCATGACGGCCAGTTCTTTGACGAACGGCACCCACTTCTCCGCGTAGAGTTTGGCCTCTTCTTCCGCCAATAGCGTGGCGTCCACATCAGCGTCTTCCTTGGCAAGCAGCTTGGCTCCGAGCTTCTCGAAAGCGTCCACAAGGTCCTGTTCACTCTTGACAACCGCGTTACCTCGGCCGTCGTACGCGAAACGACGCGACTTAAGCATGAACGGGTAGCCAAACTTGCTGCCAACTTGGCGAGCAGCCTGCAGCGACGTGACGATCTCGAACGGAGCCACATCGACGCCTTGTACTTGGGCGAAGAACTGTTTCTGCTGATACTTGTCCTGGATGAGCGCGATGGTGGCAGGGGCCGGGTGCACGCCCTGCAACTTGGCCGTTTTGTCGTCCTGCAGTTGCTGCAGGAAAGCTGCGTTCACGTGCTCGATCTCCACCGTCAGCACGTCGCACTGCTCGGCCAGTTTGGCGATGTCTTCCTCCTTGGTGAAGCTGCCGGCCACGGCCTTGAGGCCAGTCTGGCCGGCCGGTGACTCGGCACCGAGCGGATCCAGCACGATCACTTGCAGACCGAGGCGGTGGGCCGAGTCGGCCATCATGCGGCCCAGTTGGCCGCCGCCCAGCACGCCCACGACGGGCGGCGCAGCTCCGCTAGCATTGGTCAGCACCGGCATTGTTGATATCAAACTGGTGGTGTCTACTGTCGGTCGGTATTTGGGTGCACCACATAGTACCACATCAAACCCACATCATGCACTTGACCATTTACTTACTACTTCGAAGTAGTCAAGAAAAAAATGTTTTGGTGGAATTCGTATATATGCGAGAATTTTCAGGCTAGGCTTGCAGTGCTTCGTATACATTGGCAGTACTGAGTAGTTGCATTTCGAAGGGTACCCGTTCGTGGTCTGCTGTAGTATGTGCATGCGAAAGCCCCACGTTGCCGTTGTTTGCGAGCTGCAATGACGCCAAAAAGAGTCGACACACCTCGTATTGGCTCTTGCCGTCAACCAACGTCTCGAATGGTACTGCTTCACGTTCTTCGTCGTCCGAGACTTGACCCACTCTGGCGCGCTTGTTCTTGTCTCGCCTCGTCGATTTGCGCTGCTTGTCGAGGCTAGAATTCTTTTGCTCCTCTTCGAGACGCCCGATAATTTCACGACCATAGTGGTGGATGTCGAACGGAGGATGAGTGTCCTGCTGCTTCAACAGCGGCGTTAATTTCTCCTGCCAGTCGCTTACCTTTTTGCTGAGGTCTGTTTCACGGACGTACTTCTCAGTGCCTGACATGAACGACGCCAAGTGTTGCCTACAGATCTCCTCGTATGTAAGTGGTCCGTCGGTACCTGCTGCGGCTGCATCGTAGCTCATCGGATCGTCTCCTTGGTCCCAGTCACCACCATCAAATCCATCGTCATAGTCGTTGTCGTCGCCATTACTGTCGTCTTCATCGGCATTGCCATTTGCGTCGTTCCGGAAAGCCATGTCCAACCGTGCCGTAGCAGTAGACAGCGTCAATGCCTGCATTTGATCGTTTCCATCTACTTCCTCTTCTTCCATAGCCTGCTCCCGCAGCAGCATGGCCTGGGCACTCTGTTTCTCACGAGCTTCACAGCGGCGCATCATACTACGCCACTTAGCCTCACGTTGCCAAAGTGCATCGCAATTCTTGCAAAGAAGTGGTGCCCAACAGAACGTGCGCTTGCAAGTCTTTTCCAATGGATTTTCACTTGTTGTTTCTGTCCAAACCCACGAAGCCCATTGTGACCCGTTCGACCCAGCAAAGAAGCGGTCCTGAAATGCAGGGTCTGATAGACCATCTAGTTCTGTATCATCATCCAAGCCCACAGCACCATCCTTATTGCTGAGAACTGCAGGGCCTGCCTTCTTTTTCTTATAGGCTGGCACACGCGGGTATGATCGCCCCTTCTTGAACGGTCTAGCCACTGACGTGCTGGCATCGTAGGCGTCCAGAGGTGCCCAGGGATCTTTTTCACTTGCAGGTAATGATGCTGTTGCTGAACGTGTAACACGGCGAGATGATTCTTCGCTAGTCATCAACCCCTCCTGCTGCGTGTTATCAGCCTTGCCATCCATTGGAGCATCCTGCATTGGTTCGCCTGCATCAAACTCATAATCCGGCTGCTCATCCAATCCATTGTCATTCCCGTCATCGTCATCGTCCGCGTCTATATCATCAAAGTTGAGCATCATCGCTGGGTTATCTCCATCTGCAGCGACCCACATGCCTCCATGTCTATTTGGTGTCTCTCCAAACGCTAGTGAATTGCTTGTTTGTTGGACTGGACGCAGATACTTTTTACTCGCTTCATCGAGCAACAGCACTCCACTGGCATGTAAATTGCACGACATTAACTTGAACGTTTCTCCATGATCGCGTTCATCCGGTACAAGCGATCCCATCAACGCGATCGACGCTTGGATGTTGTTTTTGCTCCTGTACAGTGCTTTGGCTTCCTTCCTTTTCCGGCGTTTGTCACTCTCTTCTTCATCTTGTTGCACCTTTTTCAGCGTGATATGTGTCGATTTGGCTTCTTCCAGCTCATCATAGAGCGGAAGGGGGTTACTAAACACACTGGAATCTCCCTCGTCCTCTTCTCGTGGCTCCCCCGTCTCACTCTGTTGCGTCTGTTGGGCGTCATCTTGTTGCTTGGACAAATGGGCCAACGTCTGGTAGACCAGAGCGTGGAGGTACTCGACCTTGCGACTGTAGATGACGCTGGTGCCTTGGATCAAGAGCGCCGCCTCTGCGAAGTTCATGACGTTGTCTCCGTCCCGTGCGATGCGCGCGCCGTCTTCCGTGTCGAATGCGATGCTGAGATGTTCCAGTTTGTCCATGTATTCTTCCAGCTCCGAGGCCAAATCGATGTTCCAGTTCTTGCTCAAGTCCCTGCAGAAGAAGGTCAGAAGGGAATGCTACAAGAGCGAGACCCACGTACCGAATGGGCTGCAGCAAATGCTGCAGTCGACTCTCGCTCATCTCTTTTTTAAGAGGAGATGGCGCGTTTAGTTTTGAACTTTTGAGCGGAATCTAGACTACCCTTTTTACACCAATCAGAACGGCGAAACCTAAATTTGCAACGATGTTGGCAACTTGCAACAAAAGGGTGTTTGAATGGAATCCATCACGGTACCTTCGCGCAACCGGATGTTTCAACTCCGTATTAGCCGGTAAACCGGGTAATTACTAGTCGCAATGCGAAACCTAAATTTGCAACGATGTTGGCAACTTGCAACAAAAGGGTGTGAATGGAATCCATCACGATACCTTCGCGCAACCGGATGCTTCAACTCCGTATTAACCGGTAAACCGGGTAATTACTAGTCGCAATGAAATGTTGCTCGAAAGCTCACCCTCGCGCAACCTTCACACTACACGTACCGAACAATTTCGATGGACGACTTTTGGTATTAGCCGGTATACCGGTTTCTTCTATCGCGTACGTCAGCCACTACCAGATCTTCCATCAACGTCTCAAGTGATCGCTTCGTGTATCATGGCTCCCTCCCCCGACACTACGCTTGGTCTTCTGGGCACGGGCAAGATCGGCTCTGCGGTCTTCACAGGTTTCTGCAGCACTAACGGATGGCAGCCCAAGCACGCGTACGTGTCGGCGCGCACGAAGGCCAAGGCGGAGGCGCTGGCAGCCAAGTTCCCTGACCGCGTGACCATCGCCGCGTCCAACCAGGAGATCGTGGACAAGAGTGACGTCGTCTTCATCGGCCTGTTGCCAAACGTGGCGCGCGAGGAGCTTCCCAAGCTCACGTTTGCTGGCAAGAAGGTGGTGTCCATGATGGCCACGATCCCGTACGAGGAGCTGCTGCAGCTCGTCAAGCTGCCCACCGAGAGCGTCGTGCGCTCCGTGCCGCTGCCTGCCGCCTCCAAGCGCGCCGGCCCCATTTTGGCCTATCCGGACAACGCCTTCGCCCGCGACCTGTTTGCGCAGATCGGCACGCCCGTCATGGTGGCGGAGGAGGCAGAGATCACCAAGCTCACGGGCATCACGGCACTCATCTCGTTCTTCTACGCTACGTGCGACACCACACAGCAGTGGTGTGTCAACAACGGCGTAGGTGACAAGGCTTCGCGCGATTACATTGCGTCGTTCTTCCATGCGCTGGCGACGGCTGGTGCAGAGTCCACTGAGGGCTTTGGCGAGATGGCCGACGAGGCTGCCACGCCGGGCGGACTAAATGAACAGGTCCACCGTGCACTACAGGGCAACGGAGGCTACGAGCTTGTGGCGGATCAGCTGGATGCGATCTTCAAGCGCCTGTCGGGAACGGAGCCTGCCCCGCGTCCCGCCCGCAACTAGGTTGCTACGGACCCTCGTGGTGTGTTCGTTGAAGACAGATACATCGGTGTCTAAGTCAAAAGAAATGCTCCTATTGCTTCACTGATCTAGATGTTCAAGCTTTGATGTCTTCTGTGCATTTCGAGATGCACTTAGTTGCCGTTAGGTAGCAGCACTGTCGTGGATTTGCTCTTAGTCTGGAATGGGTCTGATAGCACGCCGGTCTTTTGCATGAGCCAGAGCATTTTCCCTTCGTCACTCGATCCAGGTATCCGCTTCCATTCGACCTTGTGCACCTCGCCAGATGCAGAGCGGCAAAGTGTGGCTTGCATGGGTGATAATTTGCTTGCATCGACAGCCTGTAACAAACAATTGATAGCTAAACTGCCATCCGCTGCAAAATACGGCTCCAGGAAGATTGATCCAACCGAACGTGAATCGGAAACGCGTCCTTCGCCAATGCAACTGCCGTCCCATTCGCCTGTGACCACAAGACGGACGCTCGTACGGTCCAAATTCATCGAGCTCTGCTTCAGTCCAAAAGACAGCGCATCACGATGCAATGCGAGTGCCATCTGAGAGCACACTGTCGTTTCCACGAATTGACGTAGCCCCTCCACCCCAGACACCTCGCGTTGGGATGCGATTCCAGTCTGAAGCAAAATTCGCGCTCCAGAAATGAGCACCTCGGTAGAGAAATTCTTACCGATGTTCAAGTCAAACGCAGATAGTGTCGAGTCGAACGCGCAAGTTTTCCATCGTGGTCCCACGTACACACCACGTACTGAATCACAAATTGGCTGAAGCAACCCGTCATCAAGAACACGACCTGATGCCGATACTTGTAGCTTCTGGAAGGCAAGCACCGAAGATACATCGTCCAAATACCGAGCCACCTCGTTCTTGAGCAGATTATGTGCAAGCACAGCCAAAACTGTAGCCAGCGTTCCTGGTGTGCTATCGTGCTTGTCAACCTCACTTGCGGGTCCCAAGCCAGCAGCACCCGCGCCCGCATTGCTAGAGTTCAGTCCTCCAGCAGTAGTTGATACGTCTAAGCCTGTGTACAACAATGCGCGGGAAATTTCCTTACGGCCATGACGGGTTCGGATTTCTTGTTGCAGCAGTAAAAGCGTATACCGACAAGTCTGTGTCAAGAAAGCTTCATCACTGTCGGCGGGTGTTGAATACGAGATTGATGCAGCGCGTCGCGGTTTGACTGGGCTGCTGCTGGGTAATACAGCATCGTCTACTGTGGGCTCTTCTGTCTTCACATCTAGGACGTCAATCTCTTGTGTTTCTGATAATAATTCATCTGCAACCTTTTCCGCCATCGCCGCATCACTGTTCTTGGCTAATGT